ACATGCCAGGACGAGGCCCTTTGAAGCATGGGCTCAAGCCCCACAAGCAGCTGACCACACAGCAGGGAGGAGGACAGAGCAGCTTCTGTGGAATGCTTCCCTCTTCTGCTCCCAGGGACACTACACATCCCACACCCCACACACCCTCCAGCAGAGCCATGGCCTCCATGAGCCTCCCCATCTGGTGTAACCCCCTGCCTTGCACCAGGTCAGGGGGAAGCACAGCCCATGGAGGCTGCACAGCGCTGCTGACCCAGCCAGAGATATACAGTAGGAACATCTTGGTCAAGAACAAGCAGAGATATTTATTAGATCTGTAAGTATAAAGAAAGTCCTTGAGGAGCTACACCAGACTGGAAAACAGGACATGCTGCTGTGCCAGGGCTACACCCCCCGATTTAGACATGTTGCTGGGACAAACACCACTGCACACAGAGCAAGACATGGCAACAACCGTGGCGGAAAGGGGGACACCTTTAAAGAAAAAAACAAAAAAAAACCCCACAAAAACCAAAACCAAACCAACAAAAAAGCACCACCAACAAAAATATCCCAAATAATTGAGTCTCCCAAGGCTGATAGCTGGCAGGCACTTTGGTGTATCATTTTGCAGGCCACCATCCCCACAAGGACCATGCTCCTCGACCTCTGAGCAGTTTGGCTGGCACAGAACATGTTGACCCAGTGAGCAGATGTCCCACACCCATTGGAAGATCCCTTTTGCAGACTTCACACAGCTCTTTTAACAAGATGAGTCCGTAACCAGAAAGAAAGTGCACTTTCCACAGAGAGCATTCCAGCTTCTCCTCCATGTTTTCCGGAGGTCCCTCTTGCAGCCCCTCTTCCAGCATGATGAGCAGAGTCTGATGTAAACCATGTACGGCTGTGCGTTGCTTTCCCTGGCGTGCTTTGGCCTGTGTCACGGCACAGTTTTTTGGTTCAGGCACTAGAAGCATGGTGGGTTTTTCTTCCTTCCAACTGGGAATAAAGCAAACGTGCTATTCCCAGGTGAGCATACCGGTCACGGCAGACCATTAGCTCTACAGCTGACAAAATGCTTGCTTTTCCCACATACATTTTAGCTTTAAAACATTAAAAAAAAAAAAAATAAATAATTGTATTCCGTGTTTGAGAAAGAATTAACTTCTCTATAAATGGCACAGCACCTGTAAATTGTTGTTTCCCTTCTCCTCTGCCAACCACTAAGCCAAGGTTGATCTTTCTGCACAGCTGCCATTTCACCCTGCAGGAAGAGAATTCCTCCTTGTCCCTCCTTACCAAAACAGTTTAATCCAGGTAAGTACAAAATTCTAGAAGCCCAATATAGACTTTTCATGGACAATTCCAGCACAGAGGCTCACGAGGAAAGTTACAGACAAGTGGGAGGAAGCCTCCAGTGACTTCACTACCACAACACTAACTTGAGTTGCTGGCCTTGGGCTGCTTTAGCCAGCTGTCCCCAGACACTTCTCGAAGTGTAATGTATTCCTAACCAGTAAGCAACAAGCCTTCTGCACATGAGAAAAGAAATCTAGACAAAAAGCAACAAGCTCCCTGTCCCCCCTCCATCTATAGTACCTCTGTTTTTTTTCCCAGCCTTCCTCCTGTAACTGGAAGGCAGTCACAACTATGAACAGGAAAGCTGAATCAAGCACTGTTACTCATGCCTCCTCTTCATAGGGCTCTGATATATGGCCAGGCACTGTTCGAATGACAGCACCCCAGATCCATACTGGCTGTGTACAGTGCAAATCTGCCATACATGAATAATTCAACTACGGAACTGCTTGTGCCATCTCCATAGTAATAAATGCAGCGTTAATGCAGCATATTGTATATAAGCATTCCAAATCTCTTTAGAAGATTAGATTTTATGGGAGTATTAGAACAACATTGATTAATAAACATGCTAGAAAAACAGCATGAGGGATGGAGGTATTACCTTCATATACATCACTTGGAGACTCCCACATACACACTGCCAAAACCTTCATGCCTTGAAGGGAAAAGCAGCAACCAACTTCTCCTGACTGTCCAGACACCCAAAAATGAGGTTAAATAACACAGACCACACATAATCAATCCTTCAGTGGCTGTCACTCAGTTTTTCCTTCTCTGCTCCCAGGCATACCACCATCTAGTTCCCAAAGGACTATTTACAACACTGTCATTTCTGTTGATTTCTGAAAGTACAGACCTCCGATATCCTCAGTAGCAAATATACACTAGAAAAGCAAAGTGCTGAATGACTTACCCCTAACTCCAGGGATAAGAAAATACTTAATTATTTCCACTCAATTTGCTTGACTCAAGTTTGCCAGTCACCTAATTAAAAATAATTTAGTTAACAGTTCAACTAGTTCAGTCAAAGCTGGGACCAAAAATACTCCATTAGCAGGGCATGAATATGAATTGTTTTTAAAATAATCTCTGAATGTTTTGATACACAAAAGGAAGCAGCAGCTGCACCAATGAAAGTGACCTTGTCTAGCACATTGATAGACATGATTTTTTACCCTGCCAATGACTTGCTTCTTTAATCTTCTTCACCTAACAGGGGATAAATGGGATATTATGGAGTACTCTTACGGTTTGTGTCTTCATCCTGCAGTTGGTTTTCCCTTGCATGCCCAGTGAAGGGCAACAAAGGTGATGAAGGGTCTGGAGCACAAGTCTCATGAGGAGCAGCTGAAGGAACTGGGCTTGTTAAGCCTCTCTACAACTACCTGAAAGGAAGCCATACAGAGGTGGGTGTCAGTCTCTTCTCCCAAGTGACAAGTGATAGGACGAGAGCAAACAGCTTCAGGTTGCACCAGGGGAGGTTTAGATTTGATCTGAGGAAAAATGGCTTCATTGAAAGAGTTGGCAAGCACTGGAGCAGGCTGCCCAGAGGAAGCGGTGGTCACCATCGCTGGAGGGATTTAAAGATGGGGCACAGTAAACTGCTATGGAGTATACAGAGCTGTTTCCAACCTGAAGTCATGTCCTTCTACTTTTCAGAAGATGCTACAACAGAGAGAGGAGATAGATCAAGTATTTAACATGACCATCTTCCCTAATATCTAGTCAGACGCTGTGACTCAGTACCTTAGCATTAGAGAAAGGCACTGCAAATTCAGCCAACATGACCAGAATTGTTGTTAATCATCAGTATGACAAATTGGGTCTCTCCTTCACTAGCTGGTGCTGGAAAATGCTGCAGATGTGAAAACTCCAAATGAAAAAAAAAAAACCTCACCAGCCACTTCAAAAAAATCACTGCACACTGAACTTCCACCTCTGGCTCTGTCCCCATCTGTTGCTGGAGCCACCTCCTGTCTCTCCCTCCACTGTCCAGACACCCCCACCCAGCTGTCCTCACTTCTGAGCACTGCAGCAGCCTGGAACCCCTGCAGGAGGTTGCCTCACTTCCCTTTTGTGTTAAAAACTGATGCCGGTTCCATCATGCAAATACAGTGAAAGAAATACGTATGCATGCACTCCAGGCACCTAGAACTTCAGCAATGCTCTGTATCAAAAAATTGTCACCAATACAGATACTTATTTGCAGCTGTAACTGTCTCTAGTTACTTCCACTAATACAGCATCTTTACTTCAACAGACTGATTTGCCCATGTTGGTGCTGAAACACTGTCCCCCCTGGGCTGCAGCTACTGAACAGTTAGCTCAGTGCATCACATACACAAATCAGTTTAAAGCAAACTAGAATGCATTCAGGCAACAGAGCCTTTAACTTCCTACTAAAACCTAACAACTAATCAGATCCTGCTTTTCTTAATTTTTTTTCCAGCACTGCATCTGCTCAAATTCTCTTCAAGTATAATTAAGAGACCCAGCAACTGGTATCAATTCAGTCTGCTTTGAAGAGTGACTGGACCATGCTGCCTCTTAGCCTCATGCAGTACATGCCCTGCAAACCTGGCTGCCACTTCTACACTGGAAATGCAGAAAAAAGAAAGGTATGCCATGTGGCTGGAGTCAGGCAAGGAAGCCTGGGCTGAGAAGGAAGAGTTGTAGAGAAACAGGAGAGCACAGCCTGGTGGACTTACAGCACAGAAGGGAACCTCAGACAAATTTAAACCAGAGAGAAAGTGTCTCTGAATCTGATTACTATTCAGGTCCTTAGATTACTTGGAAGATATCAAGCCCATGAAAAAAGTTCATTATGAAAGATGAAAGGGCACTGTCACTTCCTAGTTACTCTTCCACTTGGCGTAACAAATAAAGAGTTACCAAGAGGTATGGGCAGAGAAAACAGTTCTCTCTGCACAAAGCTCAGCTCTTCCCCATAAGGCTAGGAGATGGCATTCCACCTCCTGCAAGGCATGCTCTGGGAGGTTTGTATGAACATGGGTGATGTCACGTCTAAGGAGAGTACACCAGCTCCCTGCTGTACTATTTTGGGATCCAGTTCAGTACAGGAAAAACACACCTAGACAAACAATTGTTAACAGCTTCAGTCCCTCGGTGTTCCACCTGATATTGACTTGGACCAGGCTCTATTCACCTGCAAGCACATGACTGGCAATACCCACTGCTGCATTAGTACACCCTTGTTACTGACAAGCAGTAAGAGAACTAAAACACTTTTGTTTGACTTGAAAACATTCTATTTAATTTATACAAATAACTACTAAATAGAAAAAGTAGGTTAAAACAAAATAGTTATTTTTCTGGCAGAGTTTAAATGCATATTATATAGCTTAGAAGAAATAAAATGCATTTTCCCCACAGCATTCATGACCTAAAATTCTAGTTAATTCCTCCATAGCTTTCCTTTTCTAGATCAGTAAGATACTAGACACAACATCATGTGGGTAATGGCTATATATATGTTCCATATTTGAACTGAAAATATGTTACAGACCACACACCTACAAATGTGAAGCACTTAAAATGTGACTATCAAGTTGTAATATGATAATACAGAAAACAATTTATGTTTCAGGTTATACTGTGTTACAAAAACATTTGTGTAAGAAATCATGAAAGAGGCCACATAAAAATAAGCTTTAACTTTATGCACTTATTTTACAGTTTAAAAAAACTGGCAAGTGCACTAGTAATAAATAATTTGCAAGTTTTGTATAAACGAGAAATTCCTAATGTTCAGCATTATTGTAAACATCAGTACACATGTAAAATGCAGCTAAAATCTGACAGTTACATTTTCAGTTTACCAAATTCATTTCCTATTATTCAGGCATCGATCAATGTAGTGTACAGCCAATCATATTTTTGGCAAGTCATGTCATTAAAATTAACAGTGACAGTGCAAGTAAGGAATGCAAAGAATTCCTAGTGCAATAAAGAAGAGAAGCACAGGCAATATTGCTGATTAAAATTTACCACTTCCATGTGTTTGCCCTGGGAGTGATTAGGAGAATTAAAAGTAAAAAAATAAAAAAAAAAAAGAAAAAAACGAAAAAAAAAGAAAAAAAAGAAAAGAGCTGTTCAAAGCCATTATTTAATGCCCTGATCTTGTCTTAGGATTTCTCTGTCTTCCTTCAGGCCACTACCTTTGCAACAGTACATCCAGCGTGAGTCCTTATAGCTTGACCATTTGTGAAATGCCCATTGCAGTCACTGAGCAAAGTCCATATGGTTCCGATGTCTCCCACACAGATGGCTTGGTAAGAACTTCTGCCTCTATAAGTAGCCACATGGGGACCAATCGTATAAACTGTCTGTCCAGACTACTTCTGAACCAGACAAACGCCTTCCTATCAGGAGAGCACCACGAGAAGAAGGTCAACAGTCAGCTTTCAGTTTATCTAAGGAATTATCAATTTTGGTCAAAGTCTTTTTGATTCGCAGGGCTGTTAGTCTCGCTGATGGATTTTGATACCAGCATTCTTTCATCAACTTGGCAAGAGATGTTAATGTCTGGGAAGAATAAAAATAAAACACAACAAAACACATATTAAGTCCACAAATAACAAGCCAAGAAACCACTAGATTGAGTTTTATTGCCTTATTAATACTCAATTTTCAGGATGTACAGAGAGCTTATAGGTGTTGAAAAGGCCCAAGTTTGATAACTTGGTTAAACCCAGAGAATAACTAAACCATGGCCTGGCTGGAGAAACAAGCTAGCATAATTTTAAACAACGGAGTTTTGTTTTTTTCCTAATTGAGAAAACACTCCACAGAATCTCTTCTCAATGAAACTGACTCCAGTAAGATTGATGAAGGAAGCCAGACAAGGTACAGATTTCATCATGCCTTGTACAACTTTAAATGGCTGTGATTCACAGCTGGCTGGTGCAGCCAGCTCTACAACCAAAACCATATAGCTGGGACATCTCCTCCTAGTTGACCCTAGCCAACCATGCAGATTCAACCTGACCTCCACAGCTTCAGTAATAAGGAACAAGAACTGGTCAACCTGGAGAGTCCAGTGCTGAGGAAAAACTTCAGCAGCAGCCTTTCAAAAAGGACAACAAACCCTTATCCTGTAGGCAGGAGAGAGACCAAAATTCTGTTCTAAATCTGCATGCTTATAAAAACCACAGAAAGTTCTACACGGGTTACCTTTCCCTTAAAAAAAACAACAAACAAACAACGAAACTCTTTGAAAGAAAACAACAACATACAAAGAGTCGCTTTATAACAGTTATTGTTAAATCATGCTTCTAAAAGAGTCATCTGTGAATAGCTCAGACTCCACAGTTAGGGGCTTGCTCACTACTCCAACTAAATTTGCTCTTACTGCTCCAACATAAAGGTCCATGCCAGCATGCTCCTGCAATCTGTACAGGTAATGCTCTCAACAAGCAGCACTGAGACCATTTTAACTTCAAGTGACCGAAAATAACTTTCATGACTTTATTTCAAAAGAAGAAAGGTCAAATTGTATCTTTGCAAACTACCCACAGGCACACCCACTTACAGGGTCTGAGAACCATCTGTTGGGAATGTTCGGCCTTTGCTGATCTACACAGACCACTTTTCTCATGTCTTCAAAACTGGGATCATTTGGAACCAAGTCATAAAATGGTGGTTTGTAGTCTTCCACAATACCTGGTGAGACACAAACAAGAGGCATTATTTAATGACTGTCAGTGAAACAGCATTTCTGCACACATGACCTATGTGTCTAAAAAGCAGAAAAATCTTTGAAAAGTTAACACCACTGCGTCAAACAGCCATTAAACAACAAAATAGCACTGGAATAGGAACAGCTTTTTCTACCTAAAATGTTTATTAATAGTATCCTATTACAGCCCCACAAAGAACTACAACCATTTTACAGACGCTTGACCTGAAATCATGAGGAACAAATTCACTTCCCAAAAGCACATCTTTTATAATGCACAGGGGTTTACTGACTACCATAAAACTGTGATTTCTACTAGCAAATGCAAAAGAAAATTAAGGTCTGCACTGTAGTTTTTAAACAGGCTTACCACATACTTTGCATAGTTTTATGATTCCTGAAAGTGTCCAATAAGCATGTCAGCATCTACAGACCCTCACGCTGGTGCTTCAAATAGTTTCTTTCTTGTTACAAATAGTAAAATACCTAGGGTAACTGGCACCACATGCCATCACAAAGCCAAACGCCTAAGAGCCTGTAGCACCCAGTGTCTGAATGCATGTTCTAGGATTCTGCATTGAAAACCAAATATGTTATGTGCACTCTCACAACTTGCCAGCCAGCCTACATCAAGCTGACAGGATGAAAAGCCTTTTTCCTACTAGCACATGTGTGTATGGCTGCTGTTTCATCAGTTTTGTATACCAAACATCACCTACGGGGCTGAACTTTTGGCTTTACAGTCCTCCTGCTTCCTCCCAGAACACAGAATAACATTTTGTGTGAGAACTCAAGAGCACAAAAAAAACCCCTCCTGCATACCCACACTGTCCATGCCTCCATTTCAAATACAGTAGTGGCCTTATACAAGCCAAATGCAGAACTTCAGAGATACATCATATAACTCTGAAAATACTTCCAGGGTCATTAGGATGTTACAGATGAACTTTATCACTAGAAAAGTCTGGCTCTAAATTACTGTTTTCATGGGGTCTTTCCAAAGTATAGGGTACATAACTGGCTGTTACAGATAAAGGCGGACAATAAAAAGAAAGAAATGAGGTGGGTCTAACCTTTACTCCAATAGGGCCAATCTAGTTCTACCATTCTCTGCTCTACCACAGCCAAACGTCACAGGCCCCAAGGGACCACTGCTGGCTCCACCAGCAGCCTGCCAGCAGCATCAGCAAGCCACTGTGACCTCTAGCCCACACCGCCCCTCCTCACAAAGCCAGCACTGAACTGTGACACGCTTCTCTTGCTCACGCCCTGGAAAGCCAGCCACTTGCTTCAAGGGATGCCCTAGTCCCTTCAGCACAACTTCTAGCATGCTGCTTTCTGGACAGCTTTAAGATGACTTCTGTCATTTATAATATATTGCATCTCTTGCGGTTGCTGCCTTTTTGCCACTCAAATAAACTAGAACTTGCACATACATCCATATTTTCTTCACCTTTATTTCTCATTCCTTTAGCATCAAGTCATCCTATGCATGCACAGATGTAACTGCTGGAGCAAGGCAAAATCTACACAAGCAACCAAGCAACAGACACATCCTTGCACACATAATGATGATCACACACCAGGGCTGGCTTTGAGCAGTAACCATCTTTCAGCTTCTAGCATCACTATTAATATCCTAATACTGGGATCAATAGTGAAGATTCACAAGGAACAGAACCGTAAGTGCCTGGCACCAGATAGTGATGATGCAGGGCACTGCACGCTAGGAAGGGAGCACATCTGAAAAGCAGCAACCATCCACTCTGCAAGGAACAAGTACTGGTCTATTAAAGAGAGTAAAATACTGATTTGGGGCCTTAAACTGCATTTCCATGTTCAGAGAGAAATGCTGATTGGCTCCTGCTACAGCACAAAGACAACAGACAAATACTCTTGGTTGTGGTGAAGGAATTTCCTATCACATTTTCCCCTTTATACTAAGCCACAATAGAAAAATACTGAGAATCACCAAGTCACCTTCAGGACCATTAAGTGTAAAGAAAATATTAAAATATTAAAAATTAAAAATTTTAAAATAAACATTTTTAAAACTTTAGAAATATTTTTATCTATTTTTTAATATCAGACTTATTAGCCAGATTACACTTCACAGTCTCCACAAACTGAAGTATTAAATCAGGCTGACTTTCTGAAACAGACTTTGCATCTTGACCCAGTAAATGAGATATGAAGAGTGTTCCATCAGTATGGAATAGCAACATATACACTACCAAGTGCCTCTAGCCCACCGAAGGCACGCCCTAGCACACTACTGCCTTGACCTCAGCATGCTCAGTCCTGGTGCCAAAGTCTTACTACAAATCAAACAGGGTTATCTGAGCAACCACCTGATGTAATAATGATTTCCACAAAGCTAAACACTCAGATTTGAGAGAAAATGTTTGCTCCATTTCAAACCAGCACAAGTGTAATTACCTATGGAAACAGCCAGAAATACAGAGCAACTGGAAAGAAGTATTGTGGAATTAGTATCACCATCATGTTAAATTTAAGACTCTAGTGGCACAACAAATGTTATGACATCTCTGTATTACTTCTGCCATTGTGGCACTGAGCTCAGCCTGAACAAAATTACTGAAGCATTTACCTATCACCTCTGCCAGGTCTGCATACTGAGTTTCATACCATCCTGGCAAAGGGGCCAGCACGCAAAGTAAGCTTGCTCGTTTAAAAGTAGCTCAGGTAAATTTTCTGTGAACTGCAGATACTGCAGCAATACATACAGAAACTTCAGCCCAGGAATATTTAGATTACAGCTACTGTTTCACAGAATTTTCATTTCAAGAAGTAACTAGGTAAGACTGTATTTTTAGGTATGTTGCACAGAGTATACACATGCACACATAAGTACAAATACGTATTCATAAACAACGGGAACAAGACATCTAATATTCCACAAAGGATTACCAGCCTCCAAAACAGTATGGCTTGACAGATTACAGATGAACTACTCAAAATTCAAGATTGGCAATGAAAACAAACTTATCAAAAGCTTACATGTGAAGTTTTGTCATCACATAGGCCAGCTGCAATGTTCAAATGGACAACACTCTACACAGTGCCTATGCGCAAGCACCTATCTCTGGTAAGCCCTGCTGGTCCCAACACATGGAACAAGCTTATAGAGATTTTATGATCTAAAATTTTCAATGTAACTATTTGGTATAAATTATTTCTCATCATGATTTAGAACATCACAGAAGACAGGTCTTTCTTCTCTCATACCAACAACTTCAACAGAGGCAGCAAGGCATCAGGAATTACCATACTTCAGAGGTCCAGTATTTTACTGTGCATCCCATGCATTTTGGTAGCTGATGCTTTGTTGTGAATTACCATTTACTTAACTCCTTCTAAAAACAAGTAAAGGAGTCCCAAATACTTACCATTGCTAACCATGCGTCTAGCTACTTCCCAAAGAACTAGCCCAAAAGCCCAGATATCAACCCTTTTATATGAGTCAAAGCAGTCTGCCTGGATAGTTTCATCCAAGACTTCTGGAGCCATGTAGCGTTTGGTACCCACACGGGGATTGTTCCCCACATCCAACTGATTCGTGCTTTGGGAGTGCATAACTGCAAGGCCTGAAGGAAAGGAAAATAAAAACCCACTGTTAAACTCACTTTAAAACTATAGCAGAATACATTTAAAATTACATGTGAACTGTGACACCCATCAGACAGTTTCTTAAAAAGAAAGAACTGAGAAACCAACTGACCAAGGACCAACTGGGTCAGATCCAAACTAGCTATCTAAAACAGCCACTGTGTCGGCAGACTTAGACCAATTATCTCCTCAGGGATTACCATTAAGCACTTTATTGCACTGTTGCAAAATGTTGTCATTAAGTGTTCTGCAGCCACTGGATGTCACCAGTGCTCTAGGCACGTATACACAGAAGGCCAAGCATCTGTTACTTAGGAGAAAACAATTTGACACAGCATTCAAATTTATTTATAGAACTTTGGGGTAGGTGGATATATCCGAACTGTGGGGAAAAGAAGAAAAACACCGCATGATGGATATACACAAGTTACAAAAAAAATAAAGCTGGAAAAGAAAAAAACACCGTATTTGCAGTAGCTTGAAAAATAAACATCCTCAAGCTGATCTAAAAATGAGTCAGTCAAAACCACTCTACCTGGTTTCTACTAATTACTAAACATTTAAGCAAAGAACATTATGTGAGGGACTAAATTACAGTAAATTTGGAAACACACAGAGTACTCATTTTGCCATGGTAAACAGAGAGCACTGCAAATTGAACAGCAGCAGGTGCATGACATAACTAAGCAATAGAACGGACAACACAAATGCTCCTAATTTCCTCAGGAAATCTTGTAAGAAGAACATAGACCATTTACATTTAACATGAGTTTATTTTAGATGAGACTTAAAAACCTTATTAGCACTGTCCCACAAAAATTTAACCTATCACCAGGTCATTAATAATATTTTCTCTTCCTGAAGAACAGTCTGTACTTCAACGTAACAAAAATTTGGAAAGCTTTGCTACAATTGCACTTCAAGTAATTTCAAGGTACCAAGAAAATGCTTACAGCACTTCTAGAATGATACCATCTACTAACCCCATGACTACTGAGAAGATAACTTGCAAAGTTTGCTCTCCAGATAAAAATGTTTTGTCATATATACACTCATACAGGACATTTACGCACATTTGTACATACATGTTTGTTTATATTAAATTATACAGTATGTATTCATTGTAACATTCTTCTGGGGGAAAAAAAAAAACAAAACAAAACAAAACAAAACAGCCAAGCAAAAAAACCTGGCACACTGGAAACAAAGGTTAAAAACAAATTTCCTGGCAAACTCTTAAGACATCAAGACTTTGGAGAACACTTTGATAAAAACCATAATAGTCCATCCAAATTGGGCAAACTAGATTCAATAGATTGGCAGGTCAAAGGTCTACAGCTGAGGGATGCAAGTCAGCATCCTGTACACTACAAATTGAAAAAATGTTGCAATAAGGTCAGGGGACAACCATGTTGTAATCAGGGTCTCATCATCGGGCATCAGGGCTGTTTACAAAAGTCAGGAAACAGATATTGCACTGCTTCAATTGCTTTTCACCTCAGGAAATCTCAATGCATATTTAACTTAAGTCTGCATAAGTGCTTGTCAGAGAAACTCTTTCAAGATTCTACTTCTTCAAAAAAAAAAAAAGAACAAAAAAAGAACAAAAAAAGAAAAAGGCTTGACAGGCATACAAATCGATGAAACACACTGGTTTTCAAGACAAAAAAAATCCTCTTTAGTATACTGGAGTATCTGCTAAAAAAAAAAACAACCAAAATTTAGCTAAAATAATAAAACCAACATTTTGTTATCATTCTTTATACCTTCTTCACCAATACCAGGCATTCACTGCCCTACATGGAGGGGCAAGGGGATGGAAGGAGTTAAGAGGAAGGCTAGGGTTTTTCTTTTTGTACAAATGTTATTCTGCTGTTCTATAAAGTTGCCCAACTAAGACCTATCACCATGCATGCAAATTGCTTTAGGAGAGCAGAACTTCTCCACAGTGCTGACAGACCGAGGCAAGATTAACATCCATCCTTGGACTTTATCACACAGTTTCTGCTTAGCTAGAACATATCTGAAACAGCCAATTTTGTAACTGCGACTCCAGATACTCGGGTTGCCGGTCAAGATACCGGTTTCCACGATGCCTGGTGAATGATGAGCGCCCAATTCATAAAGCTCTCGCACTTACTGCCAGCCATTAGGACTAGGACTGAATGGCAACAAACACCCAGGCTGCCAGCAAACCAGATAAGATCACATCAAAGCAATTTTTTTTCCTCTCTGCTTCGAGAACTGACATCTATTTTTAACAGGTACACTGCAAGTCCAGAACCTGGTATGACCCACAGAACCCAAGCCCAGCTCATGTCTGGGCAGTTAGTGAATCTTTCCTTCTGCTTATACTTAATCAGTTTCTAAGTGCCATTTTTCTTGTACCTTGCATGTGTTGAAACAGAGGAGGCAAGTTAAAAAACAAACAAACAAACAAAAAAAACAACACAAAAAAACCCACAAAGCTATACAGCAAAGAAAAGACAGCATAAATATATGCCAGAAGGCAACAAAATCTTTGGTAACTCTCCTTTACAGATAAGGAACAAACATGTCAGATACATGCCTAAGGATTTCAAATTATAAAAAGCTATTGCACCACCACAAAAACCTAAGAAATATTTATTGCTGCTCCCAGAAAATCTCTCAACTATCTGAAGCCTCTAGATAAATAATGCAGATTTCACTTTATAGCGTGATGTTAATCAGTACCAGTGTATGCTGCCTCTCCTCAGTGTGAGCTATATATTTACTTAAAAGCCAATCTCTGAAGTTTTATATTTTCATTTTTTACCATTTCCCCTGCAAATTTAGATTAGCCCAGGTGTGTGGCTTTCATGCATTCCCTGTGTCTCTCTCATGTCCGTCAGGCAAAAGTGATAAGAACTGTGCAGCAGAATTACTGGAAAAAAACTTCCATCCCCCAATATACTTTTTGCCTAGCCAATGACTCTCCAATACTATTTTTCACTTTCTCTCTGCAACTGCAGACTGGTTCTCAGCATTCTACCACCTTAAAGCCTAAGACTTGGTCATGAAGAACCCTATTTTGGGCTTGCTGAATTATCTGGTGAAAGACTCAAACAAGCTGTATGGACCTAGAGAGCTTGGGACAGTGAGCGCACTGTTCTGAGACTGCAGGTGGAAGGACCTTTATTAATTCAGAAATGAGCTGCAGCCTAGTAATTGCTACACTCTGGGATCTGTGAATGGAATTTACGATCAAAAACCCAAGAAAATACCAGCTCTGCTCCCAAAAGCGGAAGTTATGCTGGGGCTCCTCAGCTATGGAGCAGGATTTCCAAGCTGTAAGTGCCATCTAGTGGCTGTCATAAACCGTCAGAGTAACCCCACATCATGGAAAGGTTACATTAAGGTTTACTTTAAGACTTTGGCAGTTGGAGTTATCCAATGTATCTGATTCCTGAAGGAATGCACTGAGTATATTAGCATCTAAATGAACTCACCTAAATCTGCTATGCAGCACTGTCCATTTTTCTTAACAAGGATATTTTTGCTCTTCAAGTCCCGGTGAGAAATGGCAGGCTTCCCCTGGGTTCCAAATATCTCTATGTGCAAATGTGCAAGACCACTAGCTATGGACAGTACTATACGCAGGCAGCTGACAGTGTCCAGGGTAGTGAGCTGCAGGTAGTCATACAGAGACCCCATTTCATGGTAGTGGGTAATTAGCCACAACTGGGTACTAGAGTTTCTGGAAGTCATATCGGATGCAATGAAACCTACAGAGAGGAAGAAAAAAGGAAAAACAACAAAATAAAACGTCAGAGCTCCTTCAAGACTCCTTCAAGAAAAGAATCAAGGTTACTAGGCCCCTCTTGCAATTTAAAACTGTTTATTTAAAACTTTTCCACAACTGCACTGAAAACGGACTGCAGGTATTACCATGATGAAAAAAGAGCCGATGTATTCTGGAACTCTAACTCAAGTCTGTTCACAAGAATGTTCTTTTTAAAGACTTGGGGGTAGGGAAGTTTCCAGTTAAACAAAAAGAGCACCAGGCTGTAGCACATCTGCTGCTGTCCACTCAACAGGAAAGAGCAATACCTCAAACAGGCAAGTCATAAGAAATGTAAGAAATTATTTCCATTTTTAAGGACAAGTGCAGGCTGCTGAGAAAAAGGTTAAATGCACATCATATCCCAATAAACAGACACCATATGCTGTGCCAGCTTCACATTCACAGCCAAGGTAAGCCTACTCAGCACTTTCAACAACTGACCTCAACATGTCACAAGCTTGCTGTCCCCGCATGGAACGTCACACCCTTCTGATCAAATACAGGTTGAAGAAAGCATATCCCACCAGAGCAACAACTTGCTCTCCAACAATCTCCAATTGCTTAAAAGGCTGCAGAGACATTGCTGCAGCCTAATAAATCAGACTCATAGGACTGCTCTAAACTGCTGTGGGCTCCGAACGTCCAATCACCTTAGCCTTTCACCAGCTCACGTGGGAGCCACAGGATATAAAAAGTGGCAAACGGCAAAGGACAGCCCCAGAAGATCAGCATAGCAAAAAAAAAAACAAAGAAGAGCAATTATTCACTTCAAATACTAGACAGTTCAACTGATGTGCAACTGACTTCCATGGTAAAATAAGGCAGAGCACTTTAAGCACAGCAGCTGTAATTCACAATGATTTTCTACAAAGAAACATAAAAATTTCTCTATGTAACTCATGAACCTCAAAAGCGGCTTTCAAGAAAGTGCTGTCTTAAAACCGAACCCAAAATTCAGGAGTAGCTCCGTTTCCGTTGCACAGTAAATTCAGCCTCAACAGGCTGAGGCTGAATTGACCTCCACAGCTTTAGCTGGGAAGCAACAAAAGTTTTGTTCCCAAGTTAGAGGAACAAATCATGTTTATTAAAAGCCCACATATGACATTTGTCAGAAAGAACGCCCACTACTTTCTCTCCTGATGTCAGATTACTTCAACAATGTGACACTTCTGTAATCTGTGATATTGTTTAATACTGCATCTACAAAATTCTATAAAACAGCTGACAAATCTGACAGTTATCAAGAAAGACTAAACACAGACAGAGGAACATGGGAAACGTGTAATGTAATTTCAGCCATGTTACTTTCTCTCTCTGGAAGTAAAGTTCAATAATTCACATTTCAAGAGGCCACCAAATTATTTCTGTAGTAACAAAGGAACTGCTTCAGGAAACATTAGACAAATGTCTAGGCAGGGTGAGCTATAGAGCCAAGGAATATTCTCTGACAGGAAATAAGAATAAGTAGCCCAAGTAAAACTGATTGAAGACAGACAGATTGTGGGTGAGGTAATGTCAGCACTCAGAAAACATGCTGCTGCTTTTATTTGTAATGGTGGCACACCAGTGAAAGGTCATGCCTGCTAGGAATCAGAAGGTCTGCTTAGACTTCAGCCACGGCTCACAATACAAAAAAGCCAAAGCTTTTAGAACAGAGCACACAAGGTACAAGGGATGCAGAAGATTCAAAATCATTGAACTTCTGTATTCCAGGGAAATGAGATACATCATAAAGGGTCAATTCCAGTTGAAATCTGAACACCAAGGGACCCTGAGCAGAACAATTAAACAGAGGAAAGTAACAGATTCATACTGCAATTTATTCAGGCACAAGGAAAAGTATTCTAACATTTAAATCTCACTGTAAAGTCCTCTCCACTTTTTCTCCCTTCATTTCTTCCAGGTAAGGTGAAGTTAGAAGAACTCACAGATCACTACATCTTCTACACCTAAGACACTGTGCAAAACACTTTTGTCATTTGGCTGTCCTGCAGAGCAGCTGCAAGGGTGAATTCCTAGCATACAGGTCTGCAGCACCTCCATCCTTTACATGATACCTGGCAAAAGAGCAGCACTCTGCAAGCAAACTGCTCAGTTAACTCACCTTTACACCATGACACATGAATATGGTTGTTCTACTTACCTAAAATATTTTCATGCCGCAGCAATACAGTGTTGTACAATTCAGTTTCCCTGAACCAGGATTTTTCATCCCTAGAAGAGAAGATCTTCACAGCAACATTTTCTCCTTGCCACTGACCCCTCCAAACTTCTCCATAACGGCCCTTACCTGGTGGGGAAAATCACAGTAAAAGTTGTCAACTAACAATCTTCAAAATGTTAGGACAGGGTTAGCTAATAGAATGGAAATAACAGTTATGGCCCAAATATCACACTGATGTAGCTGGATCACCCCTGCATACCACTCTACAGCCAGGCTGTGCTCCACTGTCCCTTAATTTTTCCTGTTTGTTTCAATTGCAAGCTCTGAGTATGGACCTCTGCTCCTTTCATGCTGGAACAGTACCCACAGGGTTTGTACTGGACAGGTGTAATCATTCAGCTACCTGCAATGGAACTGCCTCTGCAGCTTAAGAAACTTAGGCAGCATACAAGGCCGATGTGAATAAAGATTTTAAAAGACAAAATACAAACAAACAAATCAAACTAAAAACCCCAACCACCACCCAAAAAACCTCCACAAAACAAAAAAAAGCCAAAACCCAAAAATGATAAAGGGATAAAAAAAACCAAAACCCCAAAACAAAACCACACACAAAACCAAAACACCCATAAACAAAACCCAAACAAGAAACCACAAGTGACACACACAAAAAACCCCCACCCACCTCTGTTTTGTGGAGGTCGGGACACACTGGCTTGCATGCCAGGCTTTTTACCCAAACAGCTTAGAAGAAATGTATGAAATTAGCAAGTACCCAACAGCAAAGTAATGTCCTGGACAAGGCACACCGGAAAAGTTCTGGTCATTGACATTTTCATCACAGCCAGAGCACACCAGCCTCAGGCTTTGTGCAACAAGTTGTGCTAGACTGGACAACAATAAGAACAGTAAGAGTTCTGCCCTTTCACTACTCTGCCATTCGGTGTTCTTCAGAGGCATGTAGTATGAATAAGCTGCAGGTACAATCAAGTGGGGAAAGATGCCCAACACTGATGTCTCAATGCCACCACCCAGAAGATACTTCCTGTGTAAGTGCTTTCATCTAGTCTGCTACACAGGCTCAAACACATGGTCTCTGGGAATAGTGCTAGCCTGGGTTAACTTGGGAGCAGGCACAATTCCAGGGATTCACACTGATTCACACGCATATACATGCACAGAAAGATGTCTCTATTGCAGGTGAAATCATCATGCATACCACGTTCCACAGTTTTTGATGAAAAGAAACTGCAGAGGATGTACATTTGGATTTAACGCAAGCGTGAACATTTTTACCTACTCAAAACTTACTATAAGCCAAAAGCAAAGAAACTGGTTAAGTGCAGGCCCAGTCCTACAGACTCACATTCATCTGTTTTAGCCAGGCTGGATTTAACACCCTGATGAATTAAAACTTCTAGTAACTTACAGGAAGGTGTTAACTCGTTCAAAGTTCAAATCACTGAAGCAGCAGCATAAAATATATTTATAAACAGGCTGGTTTTCTTACTAGGATCAATCATTATCAAACTTTCCTCACCTCTTAAGTTCCAGTACAGCACCTCATCTCAATGTCACTGCCCCAGTATAACTTTGACCCAAATGCTTCCTAAAATGACTATACTCAAATTTAACATTATTGAATTAATAATATATATATGCTGAAGAAAAATCTAATGAATCCTTGTCCTGGGTTCAGCAGTAGCAGTCATGTTTCTCCTCCTTGGTAGCTGGTGCAGTGCAGTGTTTTGACTTTCGGCTCGGGAACAGAGCTGATAGAGATGTTTTGGTTTGGCCAAGGACTTTGTGAGCCTCATGCTCTGCCAGGGAGGAGGGGAAGCTGGGAGGAAGCAGAGACAGGACACCTGACCCAAACTGACCAAAGAGCTATTCCATACCACAGCACGTCATGCCCAGGATGTAACTGGGAGTTAGCCGGAAGGGCGGGGAGACGGCAGGGTTGGAGGAGGTATCGGTCGGAGCTTGGTCGGGCTTGGGGGGCGAGTTATCGGTCAGCGGGTGGTGAGGTGTTGTATTCTGTTCCCTTGTTATTTCCTTTATCATTATTATCATTGGTGGTAGCAGTAGTGATTTGTGTTATACCTTAGTTACTAAACTGTTCTTATCTCAACCCGTGGGAGTTGCATTCTTTTGATTCTCCTCTCCGTCCCTCCGGGAGCAGGGGGAGGGCAAGAAAAGGGGGGGGGAAGTGAGCGAACGAATTACCTGACTGGGTTTAAACCACGACAATCCTTAAAATTAACACTAAAAGTCCTGAAAAAAAAAGAAAGACTGAGAAGAGTTTTAGGGCAGAATTACCAGAAATATTTTCTCTTTAAGGAGCAAAAGAGAAGCAACAGTATATCCTTGCCTGCAAGGTGCCCCAAAGTAACACTACAGACCAAGGGAACTGTATGTTTCCATTCCAATTGCACAAAATCAGTTGTGGGATTTTTGTTTGGTTGGGTTTTGGGTGTTTGGTTTTTGGGGGGAGGTTAGGTGGTGGGGTGGTTGGTGGTGTTGATGTGGGTTTTTTTGTTTTAAAATTCCACGTCAGCTTGATGCTTCAACTCCAGATCTCTAATCAAGGTGATCCTTTTCTAACTCTAAATCTAACTGAACACTAGTTAATGAACACGTTTGTTTCACAGTTTGATAGTTTCAAACTTCAAATTGAGCCTGCTTTTTCATTTAGTTTACAAAGTACCCAAACAAGCCTAGTTTGTATTTCTTAAAATTGCTTTACTAAACAAAATTTAAATTTTTCAATTGTAAAGCACAGATGACATTTGAACCTTTCTTTTGCATAGATCTGAGATGAATTTTTTCACTTCACTTTCTAAAACCAAATATGTTCCGTCAGCTGAAGCCTGAAGTTCTGTATATTATATAAGCAACTGAGGAAAAACAGTTGATCAGGAAGGAGATAAAATCTTCTCTTTGCATTGTTGCCAAGACCGGGCAATAAATGCAAACAAGAACTGTACTTACCTACACACTCTACGAGTGTGATCTGGCGAGCCACTGTTCTTTGCACCAAGAAAGGAAGTCCAGAACCACTTCCAGATGTGCAGGAATGATCCAACAAATCCTGTTCAAAAGGAAAAGCAGAAGATTACAACCTATGAGAAACTGTAGCTCCCCCCACACACACCCCATTTAAATACACAAAAGTACACCACAGGACAGGTTAAGTTGAAGCCCATTGGTATCTCAATGGCTCTGGCATGCCATTTGGTCAATCAAGAGTCAAGACATCCTGTTTTCATCATCATACAGATGGACAGAAAATGCTCTTCACAAGATCTTAACCACTTCAGAGAACATCCCATGCCTAGATGAGGCTGGTAAGGGAATGGTAACTTCAGCATCATCACTTCCTCTTGGAAGTTTTATAAACAGCACAACAAATCAAGGACCAGAAAACAAATCAAGCATTCTCAGATTTCATATTCTGTCTCTATCTTATATTTGGCATTGCAGTATCATTTCATTTGCTAAATAATTCTGTTAAATAAATTACAATAAAATTACTGTCTGTGAACCTGGAAGCTCACTCACAACCAATCAGCTATCCTCTGTGGTGAAATTCCTCCCTGTTCCAGCATTTTGCTCTCGCACTTTGCTTATGCTCTCCCAGGCCTGTACGTCACCTATTTCAAATAGCTTAGTAGCAACATTTTATTGCAAGACAGAAAACTATAGGAAAAATCTGAGCCACCTCAAAAATAAACAAACTTGTTTTCTCTGACTTGTATGTCCAAAACCTTCATCCCTATACAGTTAGCAGGAAGAAAAACCACAGCTGCATTTGAACATTCCCTCAGACTTTTTCCATTCTTCCAGCCACCTGCAGTTTCCTCCTACAAAAGAAGACTAGGAGGACACAGCAACATAAATGTGTTTTCACTAATTAGAGCTAAGGTCATGTTCCAGCCCCACCAAACTGTGGTATAGAACACTCTAAAGATCTATTTTACAAATCCTTATGAATAAACATGTATTAGAAAGAGATATTCAGAACTGAACTTTAATTACTATAAACAGACTCTTGAAACAGCCACTGCTGCAAGTTTTTAACTCAAACAGTAAGACAAAGCCAACATATTCCTGCAATACAACTTGCTTTTTCAGCACCTTTTTAATCCAGATTATGTGGCCTGCACACAATCTGCGCTCAGCTGGCCATTTTCTCTGAAGCAATACAGGGAGGAGAGTCAGTTTTGCTGAAAAAAACCTATATATGGGTGTCTTTCGGGTCTGTATAAGCCAAGCCAAGAGGTGACAGCCCGCAGCTCCCATCACTGTCCATTTTCAAACCATTTTCAGTTATAAATAACTGTACCAAACTTGAATAGCTTGGGCCAAAACTTCCCATGACTTACCTACCACGCTTTTCTGTTTTCTTTTCCTCAGGGACTGTGCATCTAGCACAATTCAGCCACAAGAGGGGAGGAGGCTTATGACAAATTATTTGGGTGTTGTCTTTTAAAGAAGTTCTGATTTGTAGCAGAGACTTGAGATTTATCAGAGAACCCCCTGGGTGCCAGACATGCTTGTGGCCATTTCTCTCAGGGATCTCAGTCTTCAGGCACTTCAGAGGCTTGTGGTTTAAAATGTCTGTTGATAGGCATGTGAGTCTGTTCCCCCATGGATGCTGCATGGAGCTCTCCATGGAGTCAGGGCACAATTCCTCCCCATGCCAAGGCTGAAGGAGAACTTGTAGTTGGGGAGTAACAGTTTTCTATCATCTCAATTTTCTGTGAAATGCATGTGAAATGACTGTAATCAAAGCATGCAGCTCTCTTCCCCTCTCTGGGGGTGTAGCTTCTGTAGCTACCGCTTTTTGCCATACTGCAGAGGACCCTGTGTCTGCAACTCTTAACCTGGCAGATTGCCTCCGTAACAGTGAAGTTAGGGAAGGAAACTTACAATAAACTGAGCATTGTCTTTTAAAGAAGTCTGAGGTTTGGGCAGTAAACCAGCAGTTTGCCAGTGGTTTCCACTGTCAAAAGCAGAGTGGGGCACACAGTAGCAAGGCAGCAAGGACTGCTGCAGCAGCTTTCCTCCTGCTCTGCTACAGCCAAAGCTCCCCTTTGCAGGGCTGTATAGTTGTGTAAAACCAAGCTCAGATTCAAAAGGGGGGTGTGGAAACGGGTGCTGAGGCAGTGGGGTGGCCTGAGTTTCTGTACTAGCTCACCCACTGTTTCAGCCCTTCCAGAAGAGATTGGTGTTGGGGTGCTGTCCTGCCCCACTTGCTGGAGTATGCTTCATGGGGGTTCAGTGGAATGGCACAGCAGCAAACCAAGCCTCCAGCCCTAGTGACCTTGATGTGCCATTAGGAACTGAGAGAAAACGTCTCCAGATTAACGGACTCACGTGCCTATCAACAGACATTTTAAACCACAAGCCTCTGAAGTGCCTGAAGACTGAGATCCCCGAGAGAAACGGCCACAAGCATGTCTGGCACCCAGGGGGTTCTCTGATAAATCTCAAGTCTCTGCTACAAATCAGAACTTCTTTAAAAGACAACACCCAAATAATTTGTCATAAGCCTCCTCCCCTCTGGTGGCTGAATTGTGCTAGATGCACAGTCCCTCAGGAAAAGAAAACAAAAAAGCGTGGTAGGTAAGTCATGGGCAGTTTTGGCCTAAGCTATTCAAGTTTGGTACAGTTATTTATAACTGAAAATGGTTTGAAAACTGACAAGGCGATAGGAGATACACCTGTATCACCTACATTAAATGTCATTGATACTCCACAAGATTTGCGGTAACAAGTCTTCCTTGAAAGTTTTTATCTGTTTATGGTATGTTTAGTGCAAGGAAACCAGATTTCAAACTGTAAGCTTATTAAAAAAAAAAACAAAAAACAAACAAACAAAAAAAAAACCCCAAACTGAGATTCTAATTGAATGTTAAGATCCTCTTAGCCTTTTAAAGTACTAATACCCAGCTGCTTTCATAGCTGGGACTTACACACCACTTTCAAAGCATTAACTACCATCTTACTGGAGGGTTTTTCTGTTTTACAAAGGAAAACGGGATAAAAAAATGCATAAGCATAATCAACTTCCTAGTATTTCCAGCAAACTGTACAACTGGGCTTTAACCAGATGAAATCTTTCTTCTAACAATTTTTTAATGAGTGCTCAAGAAAACGATAATCTAAGAAGGCCAGGAGACTGCTACTTTGCTTTTTAATACAAACTGAAAGCTAATTTTCCTTCCTGCTTGTATGAGAGGCAAAAAAAAAAGCAACAAACCACTCCACCATAAACTTATCTGCAATGACTGTAAAAACAAGATTTAAAGAGGCCACAGCCCTTTCCATTCCCCATTAGGAAGCCTGGTGATCTAAGCATTTGCTACACCATGGAGACTAATCCTAAATGTAAACCTATCTAACGTGTAACAAACCCAGCAATTTAAACCACACAATGGAAAAGAAAAATCGGGAATTTAAAGACTACTTACTGTTTAGATTAACTTTTAGAAACAAGAAACTATCTTTTTTTTTTCTCTCTCTCACATCACCAGCACTCAAGAGCTACACCAGAGGCATACTGATCATAAAGCTAAGAGCATCTTACACAAACCAGCAGACCAAGCCTTTACAGTTAGCAACTTCTCCACTTTCTTTTTAAAAGAAATTTTGATTTATTCTTCTCAGGTTTTATCACTGTTTACAAGTGACATTAAATGACTGGATGTGCAAAATGTTCACAAATGGAATGGAAATGGTCTTGCACTGATAAGAGATAAGAGCTGGAAGCCAGTGCTTAAAGACAGATAAACAATTGCACACATGCCTAATTCATGGTGAACACATCAAAACTGGCTGGTTTTGAACAGTAACACAGAACCAGGCCTTCTGGGTTAACTGAAGAAACCCAAAGGCATTGAAAAAAAGATTAACAAGTATAGTTTATAGATGCCCAAGCTGAAGCAATCTAGCAGGGCAGCAATAGACAGCTGCTGCAGTTTGTACCACAGCTGATCCTGCAGTCCCATGAAGCAGCTGGACACATTAAGCTCAGAGGAAGGCAATTTCCCTTGCTCTATCTTACTAAGGAAGCAACCATTTAGAAGCCAAAACTCTTACCAGAATTGCCACCCTGAAGTCCCTCTAGATCAGTATCTTGTCTCTGACTATACCCAAATCCCATGCCTTTCATTAGCGTATTACCAGTGGAGCAAATTGGAGTACTAGACATAGGAATATTAGATAAATGGAACTATATAAGGGCATTAGGGTATTACACTATTGGGATACTAAAGGTGGAGTGAATTAGAAGCAAATATAGAAATACTTTCACATACAAGATACTTTCATCTAAAGCTCTACCAGTCTCCAAGCACACTGAGCTCAGGAACTTCCTTAGCTGGACTTTTTTTAATGTGTTTAGCATAGTCTTTTCATCCTGTTGCTCTTCGAATATATACAAATCTATAGCACCTAGAAAAATCATCAGGCAAGGAATCCCACTGGCTGAATTACCTCTGTGTTAAGCACCACCTTCCTTATATTTATCCCTGCTCTTGCACACTAATTTTGATGCCTTCCCGTTACCATATTGAAGAAGGCAAACAAGCTGATTCCTATCCATCCTCTCCTATCCCTTGCCACACTGTGCATCTTCATCATACCCCATACCTCCTTAAGATAACCAAGCTCTTCTTCCTGACTGAAGAACTGGTTTACTTGTTCCCTACACAGGCTGTTTCAAAAATGCGTATTGGGGAATCCAGATCACCGTACGTCTGATTACTCAGTTTTAACTTATTCCTCCTTAAAAAAGGAATCTTCCCTGCCTCAGCAGTATCCCTTACCAGCCATCTCAAACCCTGAAAACTTACTTGTCAGGACATACTGTCTTGTGAATGAAAGGCTTTTCCATGTGACCCCTGCAGCACTTATTCACAGCAGTATTTTACAGAAGCATCACTGCCTCAAAACAAAAAGATGCAAGAAAGTTTCCAAGCTGCCTAAAATACTTCATTTTCTTGAGCAGTCCCATGGGTCTTTCTTTTAATAAATTCCCATAGTTGGGCCTGCAAAGTAGTTGTCAACTTTCAGGCAATGAGGTGCAACCATTTTCTGGAATACTTTTTGGACATAGTCAAAATTGCTTCCCTAGTTGATGGTAACCAACACTTTCTTCTAAGGAAGATACTGAAGGCAATTCTACACTTAAAGAAATATCTGTTTCAGTTTCTTCCTCCTACGGAGAAAAACACAGTCCAAAACACAGAAAGAAAATACCCAGATGATTTATTTAGTAACATAAAAATATTTGGGGTTTGGACCATTTTTCTTTAGCCATTTAGACATTGCTTCTACAAACAGTTTGACTACAGTTTATAGCAATTCTGCAAGTCAAAGGAGCTCTACTTGCAAAAGCTATCTTTGAATAAATTTCATTTAAACTATGCCTTCACGAGCACAGGAATGTCACCACAGAAGTCCTGGTCCTAAGTGACATCCCTGGCAGCAAAAGGTCCTGTTATTGACATGGGTGTATCTGGAGGGTACTAGAGGGGAGTTGAGAAGTGAAGAAAGCTCACATGAATTTTCACCATGCACACAGGTTACTTACTGCTAATGTGCTGTCTCCAACGTTTGATGCAATGAGTCCCTCAATTGTGCCATATTCTGCATCCCTAGAATTGAGCCTCTCCATATGGTTTTTCTGTATTCTCCGGAAGACCAGCACAGCTACTGCCGAAAAAACTATCAACACTACCACAGGAGCCAGTATAACGATGATTAGTGTTTCCATGCTGTAACCTGCAGCTTCACCTTGAAAAGTTTGCCCTTGGAAAGAGAGAGAAGGGGAAAAGGGCAGTAGGTGAGGGTAAGTGAGGAAAAAAAAAAAAAATACATATTTCCAGAGAAAGTCTTTAAAAGCAGTAGCACTGACACCAACATTTAACTTGGTAGCCATCTAGTCTGAAAGAGAGGCCATGAAGCAGCCAGGGCTACAAGTGTGCACTTACAGAGACTACTACCACGACTTCCTGACTGCAGAGCAGTCAGAACAACCCAGATGCTTCAGAACACTCACAGGCAGTAACTCAACCCTGACTGCACACTCTAACCGCTGTCATTCATCCAGCCATACAGATCATGCAACATGTGGACATCAGACATGTGCCAGTGGACCCCAGGGTGGGGAACAAAGTTGAAAGGGCCTTACTGCATTGATTAAAGCCTGCCTTTGGCTAGTGCTGAAACTATCTTGCTCACATCACACAAAGGCAAAACTTCTTTCTCAAAATTCACTATTAATAAGCCTCTCACCTTTAGAAGAAGGCAACTGTGCAGTGATATTCATGTTGCACAGGTATCCTTGGCAGCACTCCACAGCTTGGTCAGGAGATGGTGGTGTTTTGCACGTCATTTTCCCTTGTTCATAGACTTGGAAGCAGCCTTTCTGGTAAACCTTAGCACCATCATTAATGCTCAGGGAAGCAAAACATTGCTGCCCTTGGCATCGATCTCCATTCCCACAGGACATGCCTTCACACACACATTCATAGGGTTCATCTGTAAAAGGGAAGAGTTGAGGAAAACACACTATTGTATTCTTAATAGCTTCGGTTACATAGAGATAATGAAATCATTAGACAATAAACCCCTCTGTTTAAGGGAAGAAATATTACTTGCAGCTAAGCGTTGAAGAACCACCAAGTAGGAGCTAACAACACTGATTTAGCCATTGCAGCAGGGTAAAGATAAGAGCTTGCACCAAATACCAGTGCTATCTGCCCACTCCAAGCACTCAAATTCTAGAGTGTAGTGACATTTTACATGAACTTTCTCACATATGCTACTGCAGGTATGCAACATGAGAGGGTTATCTACACGGGGATGCTCAGCAGAAGAGAAATCCCTAACAAACAATACAAATTTAAAACAGATATGCTAAACCACATTAACTATTTCCACGTAAAAACATTCCCAAGCACTTTGGCAATTACCTTAATCAAATTAAGGCCATTTAGATTTGCAGTGGACATACCTACACAGGATTTAGTGGGTCTAAATACCCTGCTTGAAAAATAAATCTGGCCCTACTTTCCCAGGAAGGCAAGCCTTTGGGGAGTATCTTGCAAGTCTGAGTAACCATAGAGATAAAAAAGCAAGCAGCAGCACATACTAGCAGCAGGTACACCATCTCCCTTCCAATGCCAGAAGCTTCAGCTAAGTAAAAGGATAAACTTTTAACAGAATGTACAGGGTAGGATAGTAAATTTTTAAGTATCCTCGGCAAAGTGCTAGCCGAGATGGCTAGCTGGAAGAAACCGGCTTTCCCTGTGCCACTTTCAGGAACGGCACCTGCCTTTAAACATGCAGCACTAGATCACTCCAGTTCCTGCAGGAGAAGGAACCACCCTCAGCAAGCTAATGGAGAATGCTGGGAGCTCTTCAGTTTCCTCGAAAATGCAGGTACCTGCAGTGGTAAGCAGCCACACGCACTCACACAGAAGGCTAAGGCAATGAAAAAGTCCTGTCACACACACACACATCCTGTGGGACACACACGCTTACGGCAACTTAACTTATATTTACATTCTTCTTTTCCATTCTAACACACAAGAAAAATTTCCAGCCACACAAACAGTGGATGCTCTTAAAACGGGAACTAAGCATATCACATGTTGGACTTTTTCAAGCCTATCATTAGAGTTTGCCCACTGGGAATATAAGTCAGCTTGTTTCCTGCTTTGTTTTCTTCCCCTTCTTCCACAATGAACAAAAACACAAATATAAATTTTCATTTTTAAACTACTAACAAAAACAAAATTGGGGAAAGGATCCTGAAACCAAACAGTGTCACACTGATTTCAAGTACTGGAATGCACTGCACCAGTAACTTCACTAATTTTGTGGAACTTAAAGGAAAAAATATGCCAAACATTTCTATAATAAAATATGTTCCTTCTCCTCCCACAACAGCAGCAATAAAATACAACCGGTATTGTAACACACAAGCCCTTAATCTTGGTCCATCTGGCTGCAACTGCCACCGGCATTCAACGCCAAGACCCTATTTCCTCCCAAGGCACGGTCACAACTGCCTGAGAGCACAAAGAACTGTGCCTTCAGAAAGGACAGCCTTCCCCAGGATTTTGGTACCTCCCAGTGAGTGGGACATTCTTACTGTCACTGACAAAACACTGGCCTGTGGGACAGACCTAAAGAAGTTCACATTCTGGAGTAACACAATTTCAGCTATTAACTGACAGCAGAACAAGCTGCTATATGAAGGACAACTAAGCTACCACTGGAGATCCACACCAAGTCCACAAGGAAAATTAATCCATTTTGCAGCCTGATCCAGCCTAAATCTTCCCTCTTGACCCAAAGTCCCTTTCAGGTTGAGCAAACCTCACACAAGCCAGAGGAACAGTTTCTAGCAGAAACACCTCCCCTCATGTGCCACCTCTTGGAGGAGCTCAGCAATCTCCAAACAGACCAGAAAGCAACTGAACAGCCACAAGGCAGTTGATCAGTCCACACACAGCAAACTCGATACCCCTTACAAGCAATGAACTAAGGCACTGCAACTCCAAACACATTACCTGTGTTTTGGAAAGCCTGTCCTAGACTGAAGTCAGGGCAAGCGATCTAACATGATACAATGGCTCTGGATCTACTTAATAGACCAAGAAGACACAGCAACACTGACTATATATGTTAACTGCTGCAGATCCCAATGTTTCCAAGGGGCAATACAGATCAATTAGATGTAGAAATGACAGATTTCTGGTAAAGAACTCCTGGATTGGAAACAGAGATTCCCATAGATGACTGTTACTACTTCTTATGCCCAAACTGCTCCTTTCTTTATTTAGTTGTTTTTCCAACTCAACAGTATATTACCGTGAACTGGCCAGCCCTTCCCTTATTAACGCTCCTACAGTGCCACACTCCGCTTATTCAGCAAGACTTTATGAACAGCAAGGTTTATTCAGGCTGCAGAACCAGCCAAAGCCCTGACCATATCCCTCCTGCTCCTGTCTCCGTGGGCCATCAGTTGAGACAGAGCAGAGGTCAGACACCTGAGAGCAGACAGACGGGGCAATGCTTCAGTGAACACATACAAGCTGAACACTGTACTGCATCAACAAAGCACTCTCCCGTGCACAAACCCAGCTGTGAAGGGCTGGATATTTGCACCATATTTCCCCAAAGTGAAGCCAGCTGCACTTGCAGAGCATAGCTTTGTTGGCATAAGGCAAATCCACAGCAAAGGCAGAGCTGGACTGGGTGATGATACTTCTCCATGGCTCTTACGAGCAAGCAAATCTGCAGGACAGACAAGACCAGCAAATGAAACAGGCCAGTTACAGTCAAGAAGTTACGGCTGAAACACAACTCCTCCAACACACAGGCTCAGAGGTAAGTACCTGCTCAATAACAGTTCCAGGACTGGAAGGCTGTCTGGGTAGCTACATACACAGCAGCTAGACAACACAGGCAGGAAGCCAAGCTTAAGAATACTTCCATTACCTAAACACGTTTGCTGCATGTATTTTTTTCCATAATACAGAAACTCATTGCTGCACTTGTGGCATATATACCTTGTGCACAAACACAAAAAATCTGACTTACCACACAAAGATAGATATTTGCATCAATTTTCATAATAATGAACTAACAAACCAGTTACTGACAAGTGTCAACATTGAGTCTCCTGGTTTGGTTTTTTTTTTTTTTGCTTATTCACTTTGTAAAAGTCAACAGCTATGAGCACTGACTCTTCATTACCTAGGTATTTCAACAGAACAAGAACCAAGACACTCCACACAGCCCCAGCCAGAACCCATAGGGCACGAGAATACTGGTTAGTGATGGAAACCTACAGGTGCAAAGAAACACAGTTACTTCTGTGTGAAGTTTGTCACCCAACCAGTTACCAATCTGTAAACTTTGTTAACTGTTTGGGAAAATACCAAACTTCTCTCCAAGAAGCAATGATACACTACATATATTTCTGATCAACATGCCTGAATTTTGAGGTGATCTTTTCACATTCAGAAGAGTGATTAGTCAGGGGACACAAATTAAGAAGAAACGTCATCTGAACACACAGAAAATAAAAAATCTTTTTAAATAAATTGCCTAGAGAGCTTGTGCATTCTCCACCTTATGTGGACGTGCAGAACCTGACTGGACCTGGTCCTGGGTAACCAGCTGCAGCTGGCACTCTCTGACCAGCAGGGTTGGACTAAATGATCTCAAGGGGTCCCTTCCAACCTCAACAGTTATGCGATTTTCCATTGAACAACTATCACAATAGGCACTCAGCCTCATTTTCTTATTTGCATTACAGCAACACAGTTTACCTCTGACTTTGAAAAAGGCCTATGTTAACTGTGTGACAGTGCATTAATTTTGTGTGTCAGCAAACACTGCAGTAGTTTTTAAAAGCATAAAAATATTAAGAATACATATCACTAGAGTCTTGATTTTCTTACTGAAGACACAGTCTCTAATTACAAGACAAGTACCTTTTAAAGTAGGGCTTTAACAGTATCACACCACTGCACCACTACCGCATACCTTCCCTTTCAAAATTTCACATAATCATAAAATAACTCAAGTTGGAAGGGACCCATAAGGATCATCAAGTCCAACTTCCCGCTCTTCACAGTACTAAACTTTACCTCGCAGATAAAGATTAGCATACCCTACTACATAGATACAATACACACTTAGCTCATGCCTGCAAGTGTTCAGAAGGATAACCTACACAGCACCACAAGACCTCTTACTGTGTGGCTGAAAAAAAAGCCAGGTGGCCAAGGATGAACAGAGGTAAATGACCCTTAAACAAACCAGCCTTTTGCTCACCAAGACATGACTTTATTCTTCTTTATGAAAGAGTGAGGCAAAGCAAAAAGGAGCAACACCTTCAGCCACTAACTAGTGGGCAGAGAAGCTCCATCCAGTTGCCCTCCTCCAGGCCAGCCCACAGCTGTGCAGCAGGAAGGCGCCGTGCCTCCCTGGTCACATAGTGAACATGCACAGACACTGCAGTCATCAGCTAACCTCGGGCACACACAGCCAGTCCCAGTCCTCAGAACCACTGTGAGCCAGCTTCCCAGCCTGAGACCTCTCAGAGTTGTACTATGGCTGTTGCCCCCTAGCAGGCTTGCTGCTAGGCTTTGAGTGGGATCATACTTCCCAAATGGAAAATCCTGAAATCAAACCAGAAAGCTACAGTTCACCAGGAAGCCTTATTTCAGAGAGCTGCTGAAATCTCTAGTGGAATGAAAGGGACTTCATGCTCAAAGGCCAAAATATGTCAAAGCAGCAATATTAACTCCCTTTTTCAATAACTAGGATTGGGGGAAGAGATGGGATTTGCTAGGGCTTCATATCACAATGAACTGAAGATGAAGGAAAGCAGACCTGAAAAAATTACAGTACCTTCAGGGTCCATTTAACTGTAACTCAGTTCTTTTCTGGTGGATAGCTTCCCTTTATGATTCTTAGCCGTTTCAGAGAAACGGCAAGTAAGAAGCTTGTAGAGATGCCCGCTCAATTCAGAGTTTTATTTTCTCTATGTGTAAAGTAACAAGCAATACACAACAGCCATAATAATCACAGAATCATTTACGTTTGAAAATGGTTCTTAACATCGAGTCCCCCTTGCACTGCCAAATCCACCACTAAACCATTTTCATGTCATGTCCCTAAATCATGTCACATCTACACATCTTTTAAATACCTGCAGGGATGGCAACTCCACCACTTCTCTGGGCAGCCTATAATAATTGATTTTATATAGGATTTACTAATCTAACAAATGCCTTTGAGGTTTCCAGCATTAAGAAACAGCTGTTTAGCCTTATTACTGTTTTTCATCTTACAAAAACCCCTAAAACCAGGAAAAGCACAAGTGCTCTGGCCACTGACCATCAGTTATAAAGCTACAAGGTTGGGCAGATGGTGCCCACCTCTGCAGAGGGACACCCTCCTGAAGCCCAGCTGCCGGTGACAGAGTGAGGCTGCTCCCAAAGCCAGCTTTCCACCAGCCACACAGCAGCTTCTGGACTTCCAGTAGCTCCCAAACACTTCCTGGCTGTGGTGTGACACGAGACCCTTCTCAAACTGCTTACTTCTCATACCCAAGAGTGAGGCTGCGTTTGGCAGGGAAGCCAAGCTGCAAGAGGAGAGCATGGTCCAGATGCCTTCCCCCAGTCACTGGAGAAGGCAGCAGCATCTCCTGCACCATGCTCCTGACATGGCCATCGGGATTAGGAAACTCCATTGTGCACAGTTACCAGTAAGTGACAAACCCCATGCCTAAGCACAGGCATTGCATTATTTAGAAAGTGCTCTGCCTTAGAGCTTAGTTTCTTGGGAAATGAAAAGCCTTTTTCCCCACTTTACAGGGCTAATAAAGAAATAATACAGAAGCAAGCACTGCAGTAAACCTTTAGAACAAAAGGATTTTCTGGACACTCAAGTAGGGAAGTAATAAGTTTCTGCACTTGGAATTCTATACACTGTTTGGGTTTTTTGGTTGGGCTGTGGGTTGTTTATTTTAAAAATGGATCATGTTTAATCCCATCCTCTGAAGCCTAGCAGCAACACAGAACTAGTCAAATCTGCCTCTGAATGTTACCCAAAGCTATGCCCAGACATTTTTCACTCATCAAAAATGCACAAAAACACACAAAACCCCAAACCTAACACCCTCCCAAAAAAACCCAAACCCACAAATAACTTAACTGGTCCAAATCACAGTGAAAGTAAATGGACTGATCTGTTATGAAATACATGAGGGGGATCAGAAGGTTTTGTAACTTCTTGTTGTTTTGTGCAAAGGGAAGACAAATCAGTGCTCTGCCCCAAAACATTAGCTTTCAAAAGTATTCAGAAAAAGCACATGGGAAAGCACACTGGTCAGGGTGCACCAGCCCCACCGCCATGGCCTGCTCACAGGCAGCAGAGCATCAACTTCCATTCCCTCAAAGGATCTCCACAGGCATGCTCTCCCTTGATAGACAACCCTCTCCACAGGTTTGCACCTCTGGGCTTACCACATTTGCCCTAACACAGGCTGCTGGAACATAAGCACCAACCAGCACTTAGACACTCAGGGAACAAAGCAGTGAGTTCTCCCATTGCTCCCACCTGGTGAGGAAACCAAACCCTAGATGAAGAGATGTAAATAAAAGTTTGCTGAGGGGTCCATTAAGTATTTCTGCCCCCCCCAAACGCTCAACCACCAGCTCGGAATTAGGAAACTATTTCCAAAAGGAAACAACAGCACTACTACTATCAAACCCAAAAAGGGGGAAGAGCAGTATTGTTTACATGCATTGGACAAGTAACTGCTCACAGAAAAAGAAAACTCATCCTAGGAAGTATGGGGGGAGAAGAAGGGAGGGAATAAAGCAAGAAAAACAAAGCAAGATTGTTTTGTCTCTTCTACAAAGTCTTTCACAGGAGCTGTATCACTGTGAGAGAGAAACACAGGCCCAAATACATAAATCTACAGGAAGTGCTACTCGATAAGCATGGCAGCTCACATCACGAACAGGAAACTGTACACCTCCAGTTGGCACAGGCAGACAGGCAGCAAGAAGACATCTGTGCATCTCCACCCACATGCTCCACCCCTCCACGCAAACTCCATCCAAAGCCTGTTCCAGCTCCACATCTGGCCCAGCTCTACCCTTCCTCGCAGCTCAGCGAGGAATGATCCTGTACCTCCAGTCTTAGCTCACAGTCCCAGGAAAACAAAACCTTGGCATGGATTTAATTACTCTTTTCTTGCTGATCACTTACTGGCATGTTTTCAAGAGAAAGATAACACTGAAGCCCTAGAATCTACTTTCCTATTCTTAAGCTGAGTCAGGTCAAATCACTATGGTATGAACACCTGCAAGGTACCTTTAGTATGGTTGGATAGGTTGACAATACTGCCCTGTGTGCTGCACTGCATGGGCAGCACAAGTATCTGATTCCACACATTGAACAAGAGAAATTAACCAGAACTTCAGACATTAACAGGCACCTTTTCCCCATGTTTCTCTTCCCCATCTACTGCTCTTCAAGTTAAGGATGTAAAGACATGTGATTTAAGATTTTTAATATATAAGCAACTCTGAAAGCCAAAACAAATGTTTGAGAAGCAGATAGCTGCACTTCAAGAGTTGATAAGGTACACTGTGATAACTGCTACCAAACTTTATTTCAAGATACTGCTGTCTCAATAATATTAACAGTTTAACGTATTCTGACAAACGCTAATCCAATGTTCCTCCCTCTTTAAATTTTGTTTCCTATTCATAGACATGACTGAAGTCAACCACTAGACCTCCATGCATTTTTAATCTTGTCCTTCCACCATCCATTGTAATATTTAAAGTACTCTGCCTTTTATCATTTGCACCAACATTTGAAGATAAATGCATTTCAGCAGAGTAGTTCTGATAGGTATTTCACAAGGTAAATAAGAATAGATATGCCGTAACAAACACTAGATACACCTCAAGTCATGTAAATTTTAAAACTAAGAAAAGCAAGTTACTTGCAAAAAATCTTTATTCAGCATTTTTAAGAAGGCCACCTGCAAAGTAGCAATTATGCGTCTTTCAGGAGGTCATCTCCTAGAACATCCAAACCACCTTCAAATGAACCATTCCTGCCTCTCCATGGCAGTGGAAATACCCTTTCCTCATTTTGCAGAGGCAAATCTTAACACATTGTCATAAAACCTTGATGTGCACATAAGTGTGCAAACAGTTAACGAAGTAGCTGTTTTCCATATCCAGAAACCTTACTAGAGCAATCACAGAGAAGTTATCGAACACCCCACTAAATATGTCAAATAGCATTCCCACAGAAAAAAAAAAAAAAAAGAAAATCACTTTATGATAATGCAACACAACTGCACCTCAGCCCATGGGCTAGACAGATCTACTTGTTACGTAGCTGAATAATCTGCTGTTCAAGTAAGGCTTTCCAAACCCCACCCACCCCCAGCCCAGGACAGACCTAAGCCAATTGCACATGCTGTAATTTTTATACAGAAACAGGCAAAAAATGTCCTTTCAATGTAAAAGCAGATCTCTTGTACCTGAGAGGAGCCCGCCCATGCAGTCAGCTAACAAGGCAAGCGGGGTGCCATGAAGCCATGTCCAGCAGCTCCAGCAGCTGAGCCAGTGCTCAAACCCAGCTCTTCCACAGTACCACGACACACATCACTCACCCTGCCAGCTTGGAGAGGGAAAGGCCATCATGATCAGCACAGGAAGAATCATCACTCCATCTACCATTGTAGTGCTGCAGAAAGAGAAGAGACATGAGAGTTGTGTACACTTGCACTGCTGTCTTAAAACATAACCACCCCAAAAATCAGTGTTTAGCTATGCCTTTTGTCAGTTTATACAAAATTATACAAAATGCAGAGCAACCAAGGTTGACTGGTCCCTTTTTTGCTGTCTTGTTTCCCAATATCCTTCATTTAAAATGTTCATAAATTTACTGCAATTTCTTTTATTTTTATGGGTTTTTTTTGGTCACAGAAACATCACATGCAACTACACTGCATATCTGGAAGCATGCTACTATGAAAACAAGAACCCTCTCAGTCCCAAACAGGTATGTAAAATAGAAGAGACATTCTTTCAACAAGGTATTAAAAAGCCAAATTATTGTTATCTGAAAAAGTCTGTAAAACTGCATGTTATTTGGACATTGAGGGGAAAAACAGAAAATATCTCAGGGAACTCAGAACAACTTTAATCAGCAGAACCAATTGCTAGATGGCAAGATCAAGATGTATTTAAGGAAGACACCACTCTCAGAAGAGTAATTTCCCAGATTAAGCTGCTTTTCCAAGTATTTTCCTTTCAGCAGCCCAGCTTCATGTTCCTGCTGTTGAAGACAGGTAACTACATCTTGCATGAAAACACGCAGTTTCCAGCACATATGCAGAAGAAGAACATGCTGCCTTTAAAACAGTAAATAAAGGAGTGAATTCTCCTGTGCATTTCAGATCTTTTTCAGGATACTTGGTCTTTACAGGAAAAGGTGTTTTTTTTTATGGTGAAGTAAGAATTATTTAATAGGCTTCTGAAAAGAAGATTTTAAGAGTTTCTTAAACTCTGCATTTAACTGATCACCAATACGAAGGAATAGAGATTAACTACAGTAAACCTTTACTGGGATTTAATCCAACAAGCAGGGCTGGATGACTCAGAAAGGCTTGTCAGTCCTGTGCTACTTTGTTCCTATCAAGACTCTTTGGATAATAACATGCCATAATATTTCAGTTGAAAGCAGCAAAGTGACTCTCCTTGACCAAGGCACTGAGCCATTACCATTCTTCTTACATGTAAGTATTTGTCTTCATTTTTCAATTTAATTTTTCTGAAGCAGATGAAACTTAAAAACAAATTTTATATTGCCATTTTTCTTTCAGATATCTTCTGTTGCTTCCTTTTCAGATCGTTAGCCGACTGATTAAGTGCTGGGTGATGAAAGCCAAGCCATTTACTACATTTGTTTCCTGACACAGATTTGTTTTGCAGAATATGAGAAACATTTTGGTAATTGCTTCACCATCAGTTAAAATCATCAAAAATTTCTGAACGCAAGTACTCAACTTCTGTCCTTAAGAGAAGGGATGAGGCAGTGCTCACCGCAACCTCCAGGAGTTTCAAATATCCATTCAAATATCCATTCACCAAGTGACTTTGCCTTCCTCATTCCTGATACACATCAATGCATTCTTAACACATGCTAATATTTAACCTTCAACAGTTACGCTGGAAACATGATGAAGTTACACACAGCATGATCACTGAGCCATCCAGTGCAAAAAGTTTAAAACAACAGCTCAGAGGGGCCTGTTGCTCCCAAGGTGGGTGGCTGCAGGACCCGACAGCAATGCTGTCCTTCCTCCTCAGCCCCTACGTGTGCTTCCTGGGGCTGAACAGCTTACACCAGCATTTTCCTCAGCATTACACCAGGTAACTCTCTGCAAGTCTAGACAAAGGTGGCTCATGAGACATGCCCTCTTTCTTTCAGCACATCAATGGTTCAAAGAGCAGAGGCAGAACACTTTGATTTTAATGATGCCGGCCCACAGCCGCAGCAGAGCTGGGGCAAGCCAGCTGCCCTAGAGGCTGCTGGGCCGAGGGGAATGCATGGCGAGCCCGGCAGGAACTGGCAGCCCCAGTCTACCTGGAGAGCCCTTCAGACAGGAGGGACACTGAGCACAAGGGAAAAGAGCTTTAAAAGAGACAAAAAATGACTTTAACAACAGAGCACGTTAAGAGTTAAACAGCAGCATGTCGCTCACACGCAGAGCGGCTGCGAAGTTTTTTTTACAGATTCCTGGCTGCATCCTCCATGCTCAATTAAAAAGCAACAGGGGTTGTTATCTGCTGGTGGGGAGCCATCATACCACCTCCAAAACTGCAGGTCAGCTCAGAGACCTGCACACACTGCAGCCTCCCCTCCACCAGCTCCCTCCCTCCTCCCAGCACCCACCATGTTGAAGTCCCCCCCACCCCTGGCCCCTTTTTCAACCCTTTCTTCCTGCCTAAAACTGGCTGAAGCCAGGAAGGACCTGCAATGAGTTCAGTTCTGCTCTGTCAGGAAAGGAGGCTGAACACAAGAAACATGAGCTGGCTTGAGTGCAGGAATTTAAAATATAGGAAGCGGACAACAGCATGGAAACCAGGAAAACGCTACAAGTTGTATGCGCCTATTTATTTTCTTTTCCATTTATTTCTATTCCCTAAAAGATGTTTTTATATCTATTCACAAACCCCTGCCCTGCATTTTTCATGGGAAGGAGGAGGAAGCAAATCCAACCTGCATTCCCCTAAAGAGACAAACAACCTTCCACAGCTACAATGAAGGAGTATTGGAACACTCAAGTTGATAAAATGAGCTCCCCATCCTCTGATTCCACACATCCCACATCCAAACCAGTATGGGTTGAGACAAACTGCAGTTCAGCAAATACGAGGGATTTTTACCAGTCCTCACCAAAGTGATCAAATAAGGAAAAAAAGCCACAAAACCACAGTAAAAGTCATTCTTAATCCCTCATCCACAACACTCTTCAGAATTCCTCTTCAACCAAGCCCAACTATGACTTCATTGAGTAACACACCTGAAATTACACCACATTTTTTGTTAAATGTATTTAAGTGCCCAACAGAAGAAAGGCTGTCATCCTTCCCCTGCCCCACAGCTGCAGGGGAGCTGCACACCCTGAAGAGGGGAAGCCACCTGAGGGGACCTGGCACGCAAGCACCAGCAGGAGCTGAGTCAGGGACTGCTCAGGTCTGGATCCTGGTCCTGTGGGTCAGGACCAGCTTGCCCAGTGCCTGCAGAAAGTCCTGCCAAAGGACCCCACACTCAGTCCTGCATTAGCAAGCAAGTACTTGTGCAAGCCTCTTTGGTAGAGTTACTTTTATGAATAGACTTTCCCCATTATAAATGCAAACAACAACAAAATCAGACTATTATCAGGCATTACACATTTCACAGCATGCACGGTCCTCTCAAACAAAGAAGCCAAATACTAAAAATTTAAACCCTGTCTCTATGAAACTTTGTTCCTGTAGACACTAATTTTCCCCAAAGCCTCAAAGAATATTTTGCCTCCTTTTGCTCAGAAGTGCTGCGCATACTTACAGCAGCCTATAAAAAACCCATCCTGCATATACTTATCGCCAATTGAAATCCTGTGCCATGTATGTGCGGATTCTGTAAAGCTCTGTGGCTTCTGGCAAGCTGCCCATGCAGCCCTCAGCAGGCCACAGCCCAGTTACACCACCTCAGCCAGGTCTGCAGACACTGGGAGACCAAAGGAGAGGGAGCCTCTACCCAATACTGATTTTCCCCTTCAATTCCACTCTAAAAATTAAAAGCTATAAATAAAATTCCTCACTACATCAAAGGCATGTCAAGTCCTTAACCCCTGCTTCAAGACAAGGGAACATTTCAAGTGGCAGCAGGCAATGTCTGCTCTGAGACCAAGCCGTTACCCAGTGCCAGCCGACACACTGCTTGGACAGCTGAAATCCTGCCAGGATCTTGGGAGAGGTGTCACTGTCCCTTGCTGGCTGCCATTTTGCTCAGGGTATGCTGTATCTGCCACGTGCCTGTTAAATCAGCAGTTAAAAATAAGCCTGGAAGCATGCAGATTGCAAGGGGGTCGTGGGATGTGGGCTGGGAAGGCCCTCTCCAGGGATCCCACTGGGCACCAGCCCCGCTCAGACCCACCGGAGGTGCCAAGAAGGGAATGGAGCCATGGTGTCCTGCAGCTCTCAGAGGTTTCTGGTTTTCACACTCATCTGCATTTCCCTTTCAGGTTACCCCAGCTGCAAACTGCAGACACAGCAGAGGATGAGTTTAAAGGTCCTGATTCCATTGCTTAAAAAAAAAAATGACTTTCACAAAAATCAAGACAAAAACAATAAAAACAACCCCCCACACACACACCAAAACATAAAAACAGTAACACATATGTATGAACCAAAATCTGGCTCTGGTGACACAAGCAATCACATCTCTTCCACTTACTACTTGTTTAGAAAGAAAACAGAGGAACAAAACATTCTTTTATAAAACTCCATGGCAAGTTGCTATGAATCTAGAGGTACATAAGATATCCACTTACTGTCAGGTGTTTGAATTCATGAGAACGTTTTCTAAAGGGGAAGACTAGGATTTAATCCAGAAAGAGAAAGAGGAACTAGAAAGCAACCAGCAAAACCACACAATTTATTTTCCTTTCTGGACATACCAATCTTCACAGCGACTTACCCATGACTCCTCAGCACATCCTGCAGCCCTCTCAGCTGCAGAAGCCACCAGAGGGCATTCCCACCAACACCACCTGGGTCAAACCAATCAGGGCCATGTTGCAGAGCTAGAGGCAGGAAGCAGCAACTGTGTACACCCATGTACAGTGAAAAGAAGGTAATTTGGTTTTAACTTTTTCCTACAGAAGCAAATAAGAAAACCTGAAACTTGCTACAGGTCACAGTGGAAAAGTCTCTTTTAAAGCAGCAGCTAACAGATTTTCAAACAACTCTTCTGTGAAGTTCAGGCAACAAGGTGAACCTAGCTCCAGAGCAGGCACCTCGTATCTACTCTGAAGTCAGCTTTGGACTCCAAAGAAGGAATCAGTTAAACAGTTCTCAGAATCCTAAATGAACAGTAAAAAGCATATCATATGGTAGATAGAATACTTTGTTAGCATACCCAACTTAACATACCAATGTGCAACTGTTTTTTTAGATAACTGCTGTAATTCT